TTCTCCAATCCCATCACTGCATTAAAGACATAAAATCATATTTTTTAGATGTATACACTCTCCAGAAAAAAATAATAGCTGTCTAATCTAGCTGCAGACAAAAATGTTCTCTACTCCTGGCCCATGTATATTGTCTTTCTTGATTGTACATATCCTTCCCTACATCAACTAAAGACTGTGCTTCTGTCAAACACTTTAGAAATGTTTATGTGCACAAATGAGGTTCTAAATGATTCCTGTCCAACTGATCATTTTCTATACAGCTAAATTCTCCAGCCAAAAAAAGAAACTCATCTGGCTGGCAGTTGCATAAGATATCTTCAAGCTTCTGTAAAAAAAAATAAAAATAAAAAATTCTCTCTGGCCCTGTATTCAGAGCATACATATTCAAAAATACAATTTTAAAACACTCATACTTTGCCTTCACCACTTTTAATCTGCCCTTTATCACCTGATGAAATTGATTGGAATCTGGTAGAATTTTTTTAAGGAGTGCCATTCCATCACTAGCTCTGTTTAAATGAAAATATTTAACATTTTGCACACCATTTACAGATTTAAGGGTTGAACTGGCCAGACTATCTGCAGTCCAGTCTTCCTCTTCATCTTCATCCTCTTAGTCTATATCACTATTAGGTTCTGCCAGATTGTTTCCTGAGCTTTCCATCTCTATTTTATCTGTGACTTCATTTTCAATTTGAGAGCTAACTATACTCTCTATTAATTTCTTTTTGACAGAAACTTTAAAGGAATCTTTTATCAGCATTTCACTGGCTTCTGTATCCACGGTTCCATTTGTAGTCATTTTCCTTTCTTGAGGCTTCTGTTAACTCTGCTTTTACTACACTTGTGTTATTCTCCTGATTGTCCTGTGTATCCATCACTGTTTGACTTTGAGTTTTTTCCAGGACACACTCAAACTAAATGTCCAACTTTACCACAACCAAAACACACGAAAGCTCCCGAAGTTGCATGGATATTATTATCAAATCCACAAAGATCCACTCGCACCCTAAACACTAGATTAAGGTCTTCATCCATTTTATTAATACTCATAAGAACCTGTTGCCTGTGTGAAACAACATGCTTTCACAGCGCTGATTTGAAACTTGATGACAGCTTTCTGATCTGAGACAATTCTGATCTGAGATAATTTTTCCATGCAGAGACAATTCTTTCACCAGAGATTTATTGCTGATAAACAGAGGAATGTTGCAATATGGACTTAGCTGGCATGCTTAAAGGAGAAACTGACAAAAAAAATATAATTCACCAAATTACACTTTTAAATTACATTTTGCCTTCTCCATACTGTCAACAAAGATCACCACTGCGCTATTTGTCTGAGCAGCAGATTTAATGCTGCTTTGACCCAAAATTTCACCCAACACCAGACTACACTCCTCCATCTTAAAACAATGTTGTCTCATAAGTTTAGTGAAGTCCATTT